ATAGGCTGCAACAATTCGTTGGGGGGACGCAGCATAAAACAATATACAAAGGTTAATGTTATGTTATTTTATCATAGAAAATTATAGAATGCTTTCCATTCAAAGCAAACCCTGTAAGATCAAACCTTATGATTTGATGAGTCAAACTAGTTTTACACGCCGTCCACCAGCGCCAGCAGCAACATCATTGCCAACGCCTGTATCATCAGAGCATCAGTGACAGTGTGTCCACCTTTGTATATTAGTCAGTTAACTATTGTAATTATAGAATAGATATATGATCCGTAATTTTAGTGATTAGGATCACACTATACATATATTATATTACATCCCTTAAATAAAGGGATTCATGTTTTTGTAATCATATATAATCTTGTATTAGGGTAAAACCCTAATTATGCTTTGTGCACAACTTTGTGCGATCGTTCTCTTGGTGAGAACTTTTCTTAGTTAAAAACCATCTTTGTGATTATCCTTTGTCTTCATTATAACTTGTTTGTATCCGATCAACGAACCTTCAAGTGGTGTCAAAGCAAGTTTTCTTATAGATTCAAGTTATCATGTCTTCTCCATAAAATTCTAAATCCGCTAAAGTAAACAAGATCCCCCTTTCATTGAAAACAATTTTTCCATGTGGAAATCTAAAGCAATAGTTTTTCTCGAAACCATGGACTATGACATGCTTAATATAATTGAAAACAGTCCACGTGCTCCCATGTATCAACTGATGGTTGAGGATGTGGCCATCGGTCCAAAGAAACAGAAACCAAAAGTCAATGGTTTTATGGCTAGTATAGATGAAGTCCTCTATGAGGAATACAATAAAATATTCAACATGTTTGACGCTGATCCTTATAAGTTGCAAGGGAATCAAAGATGAAAAATAGAAACCTCTCCTCCATGTGTAAGGGTCAGGAGCACATTTAGTATGTAGACAGTGGATACCTGAGACATATGAAATGTCTCAAGTTTCTCTTGAATAACTATGTGAAGAAAGATGGTCCTTAGGTTACATTTGGAGATATCCGTGAGGGAACTTCCAAAGGCCTTGGAACAATAAAGTGCAAAATGATTGAGGTGAAGGATGTGTCTTATGTCAAATGTCTTCAGATCAATCTCATTTCAATCAGCCAACTGTGTGACGTTGGTTACAAAGTCCATCTCGATTGTGATAAAGGAAAATTCATTGACTCAAAGAACTCAATCGTGGTCATTGTGTTCAGAAAAAATGACATTCACATGATTTCTTTACTTTGGCTCTTCGCTTTCTAGAACTACTAAACATAATTTTTATGATTTTTTTTCTCCTTTTAATAAAATAAAAACTGCTTTTTGCTTTAGAAAATAAGATTTATAACTTGTTCTCCAAAGGAGTATACATTGTATGCTTTTGTCTAATGTTTACTGTGTTTTTTCTCTCTTGACCTATAGCATCTATCTTTTCCTTGATGCTGATCATTATTTCTCATCGTCCGGAGAAAAGATTAGCTCGTCCAACCTTCCCTTCACGTTTGTGTAGGATCTTCTTATTGAAGTTGGCTCTACATCTTTTCTTCAACGTAAACATCCTTCTCCTTGAAGCTGATGATTAGGTTGTACGACACAGAGCATTTTACTGTCATTCTAGGGTTTTTATCTCTGCAGCCTCTATTCGCTAAGCTCTACATCTTCCTTAATTGGATCATTATTCTGAAACCCATTCTGAAGTAAAATGTAGATCTATTCGTCCACTCCTGGGCTATAACTTCTCCTTTTAGGGTAAACATAACCCATATAAATATACCCCTCATCAATGTTTTCCTACTGGTTGGAAATATTTGACATGATTCATTGGCAAGTGTCTTGGAAACAAGACTGGTAGCTTAAACCAGTTGAACTTGTTTGAATGATGCATTCTTTATGCCATGGATCGTAACAAGAATTTGGATTTTTCTTAACTTTTCTTTGATCAACTGGTTGAGTGCATAAACGGAAAAAAAAGGGCAACATATGTGCCATATCCTTGTTGACTGGAATTACTTTGGCTCACGTTGGTTTGGTTTACAACATCAATCATGGAGAATTTATACCATTCAGGGTTCTCTCATAAAAAACCATCAATGCTAGCCCCATTGAAGGAGATCGTCATTTGACTCAGTGTGGAATTGGATTCAGAATCCATATGAAATTGAAGAACCACAAGCTGCTCACATGGCAAACCCTGAAAGTGACAATGGGGATGAAGATGAAGAAGAATCCAATGATGAATCCTCTTATAGTGAGACTGACACGGACATTGTTAAAACTTTAGCTCAAGGACTGCTTAGCATATTGTAACACCGTAAAAATTAAAACAATTTTTCACATTTTCAAAACACATTTTCCAAACACATTCATTAATAAAATCTCATTGTATCGTATCATTGTTCACAAAACATTTACCAAGATCAAATCATAATAAACTCCGCGGGTGTGTGTACAGATCATGCCAGCGGCTTCCCGCGATCATCACTGGTACCTGAAACACATAACACATAACACTGTAAGCATAAAGCTTAGTGAGTTCCCCAAAATACCACACATAACACATACTAGCCACTCGAGGCTATAACTCTGTGGTCCCTTGGGCCCTAACTCTGTGGACCCTCTGGTCCTAGCTCTATGAACCTTCCGGTTCTAACTCTGATATACACACGACATAAATCACATAGAAATAATGCAGTGCAACACATCACATAAATATCATACAAGAACTCTGTCACATAACTCTAATTACCACTCAAGGTAAAGTATAGTGAGAAGACTCACCTAGGATGTTTCGGTAAATCCCTGATTCGGTAGCAGTATAGTTTAGCCTCCGCCTAATCACATAAAGTAAAATACGCTCATAAATATAACTCACGAGACTAGACCCAACCCTCTCTTAGCAGCCTCAAATGGGTAAAAGACCATTTTACCCCTATCTTGACTCAAAGACCCCATTGTTGACCAATCCATAAAAGTCAACAAAGTGAACGGTCAAACTTTGACCTGACTCGTCGAGTGCACTTGGGCGACTCGGTGAGTCTACACGTGTCCACTATCTCTCTAGCCTCTCATGACACGTCGAGCCTTCCCCCCTGCTCGACGGGTTACACCTGGCATGAATCACGGGGCCACCCTGACTCAACTCGTCAAGTTCAATTATGAACTCGGTGAGTTCCACCTGTAATCCTCTACCCCCTTCTGACTCACCGAGTCATTCCCCCAACTTGACAAGTTACTCACTGAGTGACTTATGGGAAACCCTAGCCCTACTCGCCGATTTTGTTCTTGGGACTCGGCGAGTTCATGCCATGCTTATACAGAAATGACCTTCTGATGTCAGATCTGTTCCTCTAACCCATAGATCTACCCACCTTGATCATAATAAACACGTAAAGTTTGGATCTTGATGCCCATGCAAAGACCCTATGAATCTATTTGAATAAATGGCCTCAATATGCCACCCTAAGCTCATATAACCCAATGACACCCCATAAAGATCAAGGGGCTTAGATCTCTGGACCTCTTTGGATCCAGATCAGCAGCCCCAACACAAGGAGGGACCAATTGCACTAACAATCCTACTCTAAATGGGCTAGAAACCCTAACTCTCAAGGATTAACACCTAACTGAAGTAAGATTGAATATATACCTCAAGATGAAGTCCTTAATCTCTGAAATCCATAGATTAGCTCCCACTTCAGTTTCCTCTTGCCTTGGTCACCTTCTTCTTGCAAAATCACCCACACAAAGATCAAATATGGCTTCCTTTCTCTCTCAAAACGCTCACACACTCTGGGGTCTCTCTATATCAACTGGTAGCCGCAAATGAAGGCCATAAGGGCCTTTAAATAGGTCTTAATCGCCGGAAATTAGGGTTTCATTAAACAGCGCAGACTCGCCGAGTCCACTAGTCGACTCGCTGAGTTCGGTCATTAACCCGAATGAAAATTCGTGACTCTACTCGGCGAGTCTAAGCATCAACTCGCCGAGTCTCTCTAAAAATCTCCAAAATAATAAATAAATAATGTACCTGGAAATACGAATGTTACACATATTACCTCCAAGATTATATAAGCACATTCGCTTTGCTTCGACCTCTCCATAATCATTAGTTCCTTCTGCCAAACCTATCACACAGTGTAGATCAACTCCTCTACTTCAAATTGAAACCAATGATCTGTTGATTCATGTTGTTGATGTTTTCAGTACAACATCTACCCCTCCAAAAGCTGGAACTACCCTTTTGCTGAAAACTCCCCTTCAAGACGTTGCTACCTTCCAGGGGGAGTCCAGTTCTGAATTTAAACTGTGGTGCTCTCTTACTATCCTCTATTGGTTCTACTGACACACTCTCTTGGAGAAAGATTTACCAAAGTTGAAAGTGACATGGCTCACATTAAGCCAATTGTTGACATGATAGAAGATGATGAAATAGTTGAAGTTTCTTCCCTTGACTCACTACACGACAATCAACCTTCTCCACCACCACTATATCTGCCTAATAATAATCCTCATCCACCACCTCCATTCCAATCTCCTCCTCCTTAAAACCCTCATACTCATACCCCCTCCCCTCCACTTGCCACTCTTCCTCGCACTGATGATGCCAAAAAGGGGAAGAATGTTCAAGACCTGGCACTAACAAACATTTCTTCTAGTTAGCCTGAGCCAAAAAATGATGATAAAAGTCAGTCTGAGACTGATAATGATGAATATGAAGGCTTCCTTAACATGAACTTCATGGCACAAGCAGCTATTCCTATGAATGTCATCTATCCTGATGCATTCTCTTAGGGGGAGATTCCTCATGACACACAAAGTGATGTTGAGTATGATGATTATCAGCTCATCAAAAGAAAATGAAAGGCTTCTTTCTTAGGGGGGGAGCTAATGATGCTTGAAGCTGGTAGTTCCTCAAGAAAAGCAAGTTGATAGTAAATCTAGAAGAGTTGGCTGAGGTATGTAGATTACAAATAGCGAAAGTCAGGGAAATCATGCTTAAGCATAATGCTTTAGCCTTCTCCACCACCACCACCACATCTGCCTGGTAATAATCCTCATCCACCACCTCCATTCCAATCTCCTTAAAACCACCCTCGTACCTCCACTTTCCACTCCTCCTCGCACTGATGATGCCAAAAGGGGGAAGAATGTTTAAGACCTAGCACTCATAGTTTTCTTCTAGTCAGCCTGAGCCGGAAAATGATGATAAATGTTAGTCTAAGATAGATAATGATGAATATGAAGGCGTCCTTGACATGGACTTCATGGCACAAGCTGCTATTCCTCTAAATGTCATCTATCTTGATGCAGTCTATGAGGGGGAGATTCCTCATGACACACATAGTGATGTTGAGTTTGATGATGATCAGCTCCTTAAAAGAAAAAGAAAGGCTTATTTCTTGGTGGGGGGGGGGGGGGCTAGTAAGGATTATTTCTTAGGGGGAGATAATGATGTTTGAAGCTGGTAGTTGCTCAGGAAAAGCAAGTTGACAGTTAATCTGGAAGAGCTGGTTGAGGTATGTAGACTTCCAATAGCGGAAGTCAGGGAAATCATGCTTGAGCATAATGCTTTAGCCTTCTCCACCACCACCACATCTGCCTGGTAATAATCCTCATCCACCACCTTTATTCCAATCTCCTCTTCCTTAAAACCCTCATACTCGTACTTGCACTTGCCACTCCTTCTCGCACTGATGATGCCAAAAGGGGAAGAATGTTCCAGACCTGACACTAAGAGTCATTTCATCTAGTCAGCCTGAGCTGAAAAATGATGATAAATGTTAGTCTAAGACCGATAATGATGAATATGAAGGCTTCCTTGACATGGACTTCATGGCACAAGCTGCTAGTCCTCTGAATGTCATTTATCCTGATGCAGTCTCTGAAGGGGAGATTCCTCATGACACACATAGTGATGTTGAGTTTGATGATGATCAGCTCATCACAAGAAAAAGAAAGGCTTCTTTCTTAGGGGGAGCTAATGATGTTGAAGTTGGTAGTTCCTCAAAAAATCAAGTTGACATTTAATCTTGAAGAATTGGCTGAGGTATTTAGACTACCAATAAAGGAAGTCAAGAACAGGCTGAGATATTTAGACTACCAATAGAGAAAGTCAGGGAAATCATGCTTGAGCATAATGCTTCAGTACGAAAACAAAGATATGAGCATTGCTCCACTAAAATTTCTCAAATTTATGTCTCAGCTGATGGTCAAAATGTTCAACTAAAAAACATTTAGCACTTCAATAACATCATTGCCCAACGAAAACGAATTTTTGAGTTGTAGGATCGAATTGACAAAAAGAAGTGTGGATACATTCTTGCTTGAATGTATAAGCCTGATCCCATCATTAAGGTCAGGTGCTCCAAACCCAAGGATGAATTGTTGAAGGTTCATTTGGTCAGGAAGAAGACTTAGTATGAATATACCGAAATTGTATTTGCTCGTAAATTAGTCGGATATGGCCACAACGAGTGGATCCAAATTTAGGAAATAATTACCAAACATAATGGTATTCATGCTCAAGAAATGAAATTGGAACTGCAACAACTAATTACCAAAGCTAAGAAGTTGAATTTAGTGCCTTCAGCTGACCTCAAGCTTCCATTTTTGATAAAGCACGTAAGCCCAAAATGTCCAAAATTTACAAAGTTACTTCTTCCTTTTGGCATTGTCTACATTAACAACAAGTTGTTAGTGGGTGTTGAGCCAATTCAACATGTGTTCATTTGGGAGCCTAAACATGGTATCTTCTACCTCGACAATCAAAATCAAATGTGCTTTCAACGCATTGAAGATCTTCCTTTTGCTCCCACTAAGCAGTTGTTTCATCTTCATGTGGAGTGCATACGTCATAAGGAATTGGAATGATATTATCATGTGTTGATCTCTCTTGAACTCATCAAATGTTTAAAAGATCTCTAAATTAGAGACTTTAGGTGGATAAAGCCATAAATCTTAAAAGAGGTTGGCCAGTTTTCTGACAACACACCTGATGACACTCCTTTCGATTAGTTTTGATATCATGAAATATGAGGAGATTATAAGGTCACACCTGATTATCTAATGCATCAAACTACTTTTACATGTTGTCCACTAGCACCAATGACAACAGCAGCACCATCGCCAACACAATAAGAGCATCAACGACAACGTGTCTACCTTTGTATATTAGTTGGTTAACTATTGTAATTATAGAATATATATCTGATTCGTAATCTTAGTGATTAGGATCAGACTATACATAGATTATATTACATCCTTTAAAAAAAGGGATTTTCGTTATTGTGATCGTATATAATCTTGTATTAGGGTTAAACCCTATTTATGCTTTGTGCACCGCTTTGTGCGATCCTTCATTTGGTGAGAACGTTTCATAGTGAAAAATCATCTTTGTGATTATCCTTTGTTCTTCATTATAACTTGTTTGTATCCGATCAACGAACCTTCAAAATTGATAGTCGTGTACCAAAAATAGAAGCTCTTCTAGGTCAACCAGAGGTAAAGTAGTGTATTCCTTGCATATAAGATAGTGCCAGAGTAAAGGGTGGCATTCCACACCCATCAGCATGTGAACATAATCATGAAAATATTATGCCCTAAACATGGCCGCACAAACTATATGTGTTGTACGGACCATGATTTCCCATAGGAGGTATGCAGGTTGTAGTCACAACTACGGATGAGATTTAAAATTAGACAACCGGACTGGAAACGAAACCAGAACCGGTACAACCAAAATATATAGAACCAGTTTCTATGAAAAGTTCTGGGTAAACTTGGTTTAAGAATCGGGTACCGGGTATTCTGATTTGAAATGAATGAGATATGTATATTTTAAACTTTTCATAGAAATTGGTTCTGACCCCTAAAAGTGGTTCCATTTCCTAATACCGATTTCGGGTTTAAAGAATGATTTTATCCGGGTTCTGGCTAATTAGGGTTTAGGTGCATCAGTTCTGGGTAAACCGGGTTTAAGAACTGGGTAAACTTGGTTTAAGAATCGGGTACCGGGTATTCTGATTTGAAATGAATGAGATATGTATATTTTAAACTTTTCATAGAAATTGGTTCTGACCCCTAAAAGTGGTTCCATTTCCTAATACCGATTTCGGGTTTAAAGAATGATTTTATCCGGGTTCTGGCTAATTAGGGTTTAGGTGCATCAGTTGTGGGTAAACCGGGTTTAAGAACTGAAATTGGTATTAGGAACTATAACCACTTTTAGGGGCGAGAACCAATTTTTATGAAAACTTAAAAATATGCATATGTCATTCATTTCAAATCAGATTGACATGAGGTTTTTTCCAACGTGTAGTTTAGAGTTTGTATATGATTTTAGACTATTAATTTGTCATTTTTAGTTTTATATTCATTGAATTACAGTCCCCCAAAATCAAGATATCAAAGCTAGAAGTTTTTTAGTTTTTCATCTTTTTTGCATTATGTGAAAATTTTAAAACATGCATATCCAATTCGTTTGAAGTCGGATTGACATGCGGTTTTTTCTAACCCGTAGTTTAGAGTTTGTGCATGAGTTTAGACTATAACTTTGTCAGTTTTTTTAATATTCAATATATTACAGTCCCCCAAAGTCGGGATATTAAAAACTAAAAATTTTCAACTTTTCATCTATTTGTTTTTATACTTTGTATTCTGTGAAAAAGTTAAAACATGCATATCTCATTCCTTTAAAGTCGGATTGAAATATGGTTTTTTCCAGAGTGTATTTTAGAGTTTCTACATGATTTTAGACTATAATTTTGACAATTTTGGGTTTATATTCAATGACTTATGGTCCCCCAAACTTGAGATATCAAATATGGAAGTTTTTAGTTTTTCAACTTTTATGTATTCTGTGATAATTTTAAAACATGCATATATAATTCATTTGAAGTCGGATTGACATGCGTTTTTTCCCAACTTGTAGTTTAGAGTTTGTAAATGAGTTTAGACTATAATTTTGTCATTTTGGTTTAATATTCAATAATTTACAATCCCTCGAAGTCGGGATACCAAAACTAAAAGTTTTTAACTTTTCAGCTATTTGTTTTTGTACATTGTATTATGTGAAAATGTTAAAATATATGTATCTCATTCGTTTAAGGTCGGATTGCCATATGGTTTTTTACAGAGTGTAGTTTAGAAATTTTACATGATTTTAGACTATAATTATGTGAATTTTGAGTTCATATTCAATGACTTGCAGTCCCACGAAGTTGGGATATAAATATGAAAAATTTCAAAGTTCAACCCACTAAGTAGCAGGTAATTACCAAAAAATTCCGGTTTTTTCGATTCTAAACCCACTTTATCTGATTCCACCATACCAACTTTGATGTTTTCAGGTTTTCCATTTCTATACCCACTTTACCCAGAACCGAAACAGAACCGGTTCCTATATACCGGTCTGGTTTCCGATCCTACAAAGTCCTGTTAACCAGTTCCGGGTTTTCCGGGTGGTCCGGGTTCGTCCATGTCTGGTTTGGACTTACTTTCATCCCTAGTCACAACCACATCCTATGTTATGTCATGCTAAAATCAAAAGAATCATTATATAAGCATTTGTATGTATGTTCCGTAGGACATTCCGGAATATCATAATCCATATCAACACATTCTAGATCACAATTCCAAATAAAAACACTCTAGATCCACATTTTGGAATTGTTCTTCGTATTCTAGACATATTCTACTTATTCTGTGCGTGTTTACATATTCCAAATTCATTTTAGACAAGCCAAAATTAGGATATTTCTAAGATTTGTTAATCTAGCATACATATATAACCAAATGTAATCGTATAGTTGTCTTTAAACCACTAAAAATCACAGACCAACAAATATTACCTATATAAATGGATAAATTATATAAGTTTTAACTTATAAAATAAATTAAAGACATAATTATAAAGATACTAGAAACTTACATATAAAAAAGGATACTCTTCATCTCTAGAAGAAGATATTTCCAATTGAATTTTATAGTCCGGAATTACTGAATTCAAAATGGAATGTATTGAGTTATTTGAAAATTTGACATGAACTCCGATATGGTATTTATAGGGGCCACAATACCAGGTCAGACTTCCACAACCTTGAGAGGTCATCCTCCATGTCCATACACTTCCCCATCACACCTAGATGGTTTTCTGCGACCATGAGGAATCGTATCCTCTCACATACCCATCTAACTAGATCGTTGGAGCCTGCTCCCGGGGAAAGTCGTGGGGGGCGATTCTAACGGTCTTCTAATATGTTGCAACTAGGAATCCCTTAAGGAACCAGCTAATGACACTCATCTCCGATCCACGATCCAGATCCATCACTCAAGACCCGATGATCGGATTCCGATGTCGCATCATTAGCGTCCTCCCTTGTTACGAAAACCGACACAAAAGCTATAGACTTCATCAGAAACAATGGCGATAGAAGAAATAGCAATAAGGTCGTCTGAACCTGAAAGTCCGATATGACCCATGGATGCAACCACTAGCACCGATGAGCACCCAATCATTCCAAATCATAAGCTCACGTACCAGTGGAACATAAATGCAACACCCATTCCCCACATTCAGTCAAACATGAACACACAACTTTTACTAGTTTCCCTCATTCTCCTTAACAGTCCAACCATGATCACAAGTCAACAAACAGAACCGCGATGATCCAAATAACACCATTCGGAGGATACACACCAAAAACCCAATTACCGACCTCATCCCAACAGTTGGAAGCATGTTCATGCGGATGAACATAACCTAACAAACAACATAACACACTACAACTCATATCCCAACAACGGTGGTTCCCACCATGCACGATAATTTTCCTATGTACCGGTATACTATTCTGACAAACATACATGCCACATTCCAAAACAACAGTTTTTCCCTAACAATCCATATACAATTTTTCATAAGTATACACCCAAACGCCTTTAGCAACAACCAACACCTCACCTTTCATACTAGAACTACACAACTATGACATACCCTGTACAACAAGACTGTCGGACCTCAAAATATGCCATGACACAACTTGCCCTAATATCCATATAGACACTTACGAGGGTAACATGAAATCCATTACACTGGATGAACTATTTTAGTGCACACACTTCCCCACCACACTCGACGGAAACGCAAGGGCATGGTTCAGGATTCTTGCACCAAATACCATTAACAATTTTGCCCAGCTCAAAGAGCTATTTCTAAAAAAATTCATGCAACTTTGAAAATATCGAGCAGACATCCAAGAAATTTTAGGATGTAAGCGAAAAGAAGGTGAAAGCATTAGGGGCTACTTTAAAAGATCTGACGATACAAAACTAAACTTACCAGGCCAGGACGAAAATCTTGTTACAGAGGCATTCACATATGGTTTACTCCCAGGAAGAATGTCATGGAAATTCTTTGGGAATAAACCTACAACTAGACAAGAACTTAAAGGAAGTGTCGAGTGACACCTATGACAGGACAAAGGCACAACAACCAACAAAGCTTTCCTCTGCGCAACAAGGTCATTATACAGCCAGAGGGAATCGTGCGCATTCCCCAAAACACCCCTAAGGAACAACAATAACACACACATGTAAAAGATATAATTTCAGCCTTAGACACGTGACAACAAGACCTGACATCCTGGCATTTGACAAGCAACAACCCCATCGTCCCAACGCACACCAATTCCCAAACAAAAGAAAATAATGTGAATACCACAAAAAATAAGGACACCACCCGACAAATTGCGTCGTCCTGAAGAAATAGTTAGAAGAACGAATAACCAAGGGAAAACTCTCAGAGATTGACAGATGCATTCGACCAAATGTTGACACCACATCACTGTAGAAAGTAAAGATAGAATGACAAG